TTAGCCGGACATGGTGGCAAGCGCCTGTAGTCCCAGTTACTCGGGAGGCTGAGGCAGGAGAATTGCTTGAATCCAGGAAGCAGAGGTTGTAGTGAGCCGAGATCACACCATTGCTTTCCAGCCTGGGCAACAGAGCAAGACTCCATCTCAAAAAAAGGAAAAAAAAAGTGAATTGGGTGTGGTGGCGCGTGCCTGTAGTCACAGCTCCTGGGGAGGAGGATCCCTCGACCACAGGAATTTGAGGCCAGCCTGGGCAGCATAGTGAGACCCCATCTCTAAAAACAGAGAAGTAAACCAGCACCCAGCTTCACTAGGAGACATCATCATCAGTTGAATGTTGGAGATGGTGTAGATCCAGTTTACCAGTGACTGCCCACAAGTTAGAAACATTTCAACAGGACGCTTTGTTTCAGCTTTCTTCCTTGACTGCAGTGTGCAAAGCAGCTGGTCCATGCCTAGGCCCCAGCTTCGCCAGCGAAGGCCAGGCAGAAGGAGGTATCACCGTGAGAATCACCGTCATGGTGCTGCTGGGATGGGACAAGCCTTGTTTTGGTGGAGTTTCAGTGTTTTCAAATCAGGGGCTCTTTTTACATAACACGTCTATACTGCCATGGATTTTCTCGACGGGCGTAAGATGCTTCTGAATTGGGCCGGGCGCGGTGGCTCAAGCCTGTAATCCCAGCACTTTGGGAGGCCGAGACGGGCGGATCACGAGGTCAGGAGATCGAGACCGATCCTGGCTGAACACAGTGACAACCGCGCCGTCTCTAACTAAAAATACAGGAACAAACTTAACGCCACGTGCGCAGGGTGGCAGGCGCCTGTACGTGAGCCCCAGCTACATCCGGCCGAAAAGGCGTGAGGCACCGACGAGCAATTGGCGTTGAACGCCCAGGGGAGGCCCGGAGGCCTGTGCGTGAGCTGAGAATCCCCGGCCACTGCACTCCAGCCTGGGCGGCAGAGCAAGACTCCGTCCTCAAAAAAAAAAAAAAAAGATGCTTTCCTGAATTCGTAACTCTTGTCATCAGACATCTACCGTGGAGCCGCTCCCAGCTGGAGAGAAAACTGAACCGGCTGAAGGCAACACCGCCGAAAACCCTCGCCCTGTGCTTCTTGCTCTTCCAGGGGCAACCCCATCGGCCTTGGGTGTGGCTGTCTTGCGTGCTACCGCCAGGGCGGAGAGTCCCCAGGTCGCAGGCCGAGATTCCTCAATTCTGTGTTCAAGGAAAAACTAATCGGTGCCAGGCGGCTGTGGGAGCTTGGAGCTGATTTTCATTTTGTGAGACTTTGTGGTTTCAAAGATGTTGTGATAAATTAAACAGGCAGTCTTTATTTGCGCTTTTTGAAATCGTTAGTCGCGATTAGAGCTTGGAATCAAAAACAATGCTCCTAGTTCCGTAATGGGGCCGGAGAATGGATTGATGCTGGTGCTCCTGTTAGCCTTTTGTTTTTTGTTTGCTTTGTTTGTTTGTTTTTTTGAGGCCAGAGTCTGGCTCATGTCCGCCCGCAAGGCTCGCGAGTGGCAGTGTGGCGATCTCAGCTCAGCTGCACAGCTCACGCTCGCCCGGGCTTGCAACGCGATCTGGCTCAGCGCATGCCTCAGCCTCCGCCGAGCAGCTGGAAGCTGAGACAAGGCGCGGGCCGCCACTCCCCTCGGCCGCTAGTTTTTTGTATTTTTTAAGTCGAGACGGGGTTTCACCGTGTTAGGCGCCGATGGTCTCGATCTCCTGACCTCGTGATCCGCCCGTCTCGGCCTCCCAAAGTGCTGGGATTATAGGCTTGAGCCACCGCACCTGGTCTGTTAGCTTGTTTAAAAAAAAATTGAGAGCTAGAGTCTTGCTCTGTTGCCCACACTGGAGCACTGTTGCGTAATTGTGGCTCACTCCAGGTTCCAGACTCCAGCCGCTGGGCTCTGGCAGTCCTCCTCTGCCGCCCGAGTAGCCGGGACTCGACTTGCGTGCCACCACGCCCTGCTGATTTTTTGTAGAGATGTGGTCTGGCTGTATTGCCTAGGCTGGTTTCAAACTCCTGGGCTCAGATATATCGCTCTGGCCTGCAGCGGCTGTCGCCAAAGCGCTGGGATTATGAGGCGTGAGCCCAGCCGCACGCCAGTGCGTGTTAGCCTCTTTCTTTTTTGTTTTGTTTTTTTTGAGATGGAAGTCTCGCTTGTCTGTTGCCCGAGGCTGGTGGTACAGTGTGCGACGGAGTCCGTCAGCGTCACTGCAGCCCGCTCTGCCCCAGGTCACGCCATTCTCCTTGCCTCGCGCCTCCTGGAAGGTTAGCGTGGGGATTACATGCACCACGCCCCCACCCAGTAATATTTTTTATGTTTGTAGTACAGACTGGCGGTTTCACCGTGTTGGCCGGGCTGGTCTCAACACTCCTGACCCTCATGATCCACCTGCTTCAGCTTTCCCAAAGTTGCTGGAGAACCAGTCATGCGCCACCGTGCCCAGTCCAGCGCTCTTGGTATGATTTGTCTTATTTTTTTTTTTTTTTTTTGGACGATGGAGTTTCGCTCTGTTGCCCAGGCTGGAGTGCAGTGGCACAATCCTCGGCTCACTGCAAGCTCTGCCTCCGGGTTCACGCCATTCTCCTGCCTCAGCCTCCCGAGTAGCTTGGGGAGTGAGGTCACCTGCCCCACACCTGGCTAATTTTTTGTAGTTTTTAGTAGAGTAGCGGTGAATCTGCGCCTCAGCCTCCCAAAGTGCTGGGATGACAGGCGTGAGCCACTGCGCCCGGCCGCTCTTTTATTTGTTTAGTCTTTCACTAGCTGAAGAGCTAGAACTTTTCTAGTTCTTACCCTTCTCCCACTGCGTGTCTCCCCTCCCATCTGTATGTGAATGTATGTTGTGAGGTTTTATCCATTTAATATTATGCTCCTAAGATTCGTCCATATTGTGTGTGCAATGGTGGTTCATTCATTCATTCATTCTCATTGTATAAAAGGTTCCAGACGTGGCGCGGTGGCTCACGCCTGAGACTCCAGCTCTTTGGGAGGCTGAGTCAGGAGGGGATCGCTTGAGGTCAGGAGCTCAAGGCCAGCCTGGGCAATGTGGTGAGACCCCATGTCTACAAAAAATTTAAAAAATCAGCCAGGCATGGTAGCTCATGCCTGTAGTTCCAGCTACTTGGGGGACTGAGGCAGGAGGATGTTTGAGCCCAGGAGGCCAAAGCTGCAGTGAACCGAGATCACACTGCTGCACTGCAGCCAGGACGACGGAGCGAGACCCTGTCTCAAAAAGAAAGAGAGAAGTTTCCATTGTATGAATTATTTTTATCGTATGTCATTTTCGTTTTCTATTTTGAGATGGAGTCTTGCTCTGTCGCCCAGGCTGGAGGGTAGTGGTGCCATCTTGACTCACAGCAAACTCTGCCTCCCGGGTTCAAACGATTCTACCACTTCAGCCTCCCAAGTAGCTGGGATTACAGGCGTCCGCCACTATGCCTGGCTAATTTTTGTATTTTTGGTAGAGATGGGGTTTCACCATAGAGACAGGGTTTCGCCTTGTTGGCCAGGCTGGTCTTGAACTCCTGACCTCAAGTAATCTGCCTGCATCGACCTCCCAAGTGCTGGGATTACAGGCATGAGCACCTCGCCTGGCCTATCATTTTCATTAGGAAAAGTTTGTAGGTTGATGGGTCCTTGCTGCCTTTTTTTCCTGCCTTCTTCTGGAAAGAAGCTGAGACTTGAGGAGAAAGGAGGAAGAAGGAACTTTAATGCTTTGGCTGAATATATGTGTTTAACATTTTGTCCTGCAGGTGGTCCTCTGTAAATGGGGTGAATTACAATATTTGAGGAGTCTTCCTTACATCATCTCTGAAGGCAGAGATATCACACAGCCTCGGGGCCCCGGCTTCCTGGAGAGCTCACTGACAAAGTCCCCCTGAGCCAGAGCTGAGTCACTGCTGTGTCCAGCGGTCTCCGGTTCTTGCATTCTCTCCCATCCAGCCTCTCACACTGACCCTGGTGTCCCCAGCGCAGGCCCGTCCACATCTCACTATTCATATCTCAGCATCAGCGTTCACACTGTGAGTAACGCCCTGGCTCTTCTCCAACCTATTTTTCCAGATAAACATTGACGATCTCGAGGATGACCCTGTGGTGAACGGGGAGAGGTCCGGCTGTGCACTCACAGACACCGCAGCACGAGGGAACAAAGGAAGGGCTCGGCGTGGAAACACAGAGAGCAAGACGGATGGAGATGTTGCCGGGACAGCGCCCCCAGAGCAGGTGGGGGGCTGAGTGGTGAGGAGGGGGAATCAGACGGGAGGGTTTCAAGGCACCCAGCCACATGTATCCCGTGCTGTGATTTTCCTTGGAGGTGTAATTTTCGGAGTTCAATTTTGGTTAACAGCTAGTTACTCCCAAATTTACTTGGGAACCTTGATGAGATTTGTATGAAATGTGTAAAGGTCTGAGGCCTGTCTCCTGCGTTCAGGAGAGTCTGCGCCTGCCCCGCAGTGTGTGTAATGACACGTGTGTTCTTCCTGACTGTGCCTGAGTGTCTGCTTGGCTGAGTTGTGGATCTGGGTGCTGGTGTAAGTGAACTTTGAAGAAACGTGCAGGTCAGGTCGATGTGGGACGGGCAGAGACGCAGACGACCTGCTGCTGCGCTCCACAGCACAGGAGAGGGGCCCTAAAAGGGGAGCTCGTGTTCATTTCTCCAACGTGTGTTCTTGGGGGCCTTCCTGGGTGCTGGGAACGCGCCTTCGCCCCCCAGGAGCCTCGGGTTGAGAGGGCAACGTAGAGGTGAAGTGACAAGTGGGTCCTGCCTTGAGGCTCGGGGTCCTGGGGGCTTCCCGCGGAGCCTTTATGCTGTTAGAAGGGGTTGGCCAGGTGCGGGTGTAGGGGACCACAGGTGCAGGTTCGGTGTGAGGCGGCGGGGGCACAGCAAGGCCCTGGTCTTCAGGGAGTGGCCGACAAAGTGAGAAATGAGAGCTGGACCAGGTCAGAGCCCTGTGAGCCATTGTGAGGCTGGACACTAGAGGGCCCTGGGGACTCCTGTAGCACAGCCCAAGGGACGTGAGAGCAGGGGGCTCAGAGAGGTGGGAAGGTGCCTGCTGGAGGGAAGAAACTGAGTCGAAGGGACTTCCAGGACACGGAGGGAGGGGGGACTGCTTAGGTGAGGGTGGAGTCACGCTTGCTGCTTTAATTCTTAGTTCTTAAGATTTACTTCTCGTTCCACTGATTAAAATGTGTTCCTATCATTAGTCTAATGCAAGTGGCAAACTCCGGAAGAAGAAAAAGAAACAGAAAAATAAGAAAAGCAGCACGGGAGAAGCATCGGTATGTGAGTCGGGCCTGGCTCTGCTTTCTCCCTCTGCCTGACTCCCTCCGCGTTCTCTTCTGGCGTTTTTCAAGGTGGTGTTGAAAGAAGTTTACTTAGTATTTTTATTCCTTCCTATTAGGAGTATAACTAATTAAGAGATCAGAGAAAAAGAAAAGGAAAAACTGCTTGCTAAATTCTGCTTCCTGTTTTTACCCTTGTTCCTTGGGGTCGCGCTCTGCTCTGTGTCTCTGGGGGAATGTGTGATCTCGTGAGGACGTCCCTCCTCGTCCTGGTGCTCCTGTGGCCCGCGGGGCGCTTGTTGTTTGCCCTGACATCTGTGCCATGCTTACGGGTTAATTGGATGGTGGGCATAAAGCCCACCACTGGAGCTAGTCTGTCATCAGAAAAAAATACGTTTTCATCATTGCCCTTTGTCCCCGTCTGAGTGTGTCCTGAGACGAGAGTGTCGCTAAGTCCCAACCCTGTTGGCCTGAGGAGGCGAGCACACCGGGAGGACGTGGGATGCCCAGTTTTTTCTAGGGTCCTTCTGGCTCCGTGATTCTGTCTATGCTGAGCGCTTCTTAGAAAGCATCTCCTCTTTGGCCGGGCGTGGTGGCTCAAGCCTGTAATCCCAGCACTTTGGGAGGCCGAGATGGGCGGATCACGAGGTCAGGAGATCGAGACCATCCTGGCTAACACGGTGAAACCCCGTCTCTACTAAAAAATACAAAAAACTACCCGGGCGAGGTGGCGGGCGCCTGTGGTCCCAGCTACTCCGGAGGCTGAGGCAGGAGAATGGTGTGAGCCCGGGAGGCGGAGCTTGCAGTGAGCTGAGATCCGGCCACTGCACTCCAGCCCTGGCCACAGAGCAAGACTCCGTCTCAAAAAAAAAAAAAAAAGCATCTCCTCTTTTTTCTAAATGCGTGTATGGTACATAGTGTTTGACTTGCACTGTCCTTTAGGAAGGAAATACAATATAATAGGTCTCTTTTAAAATAAGTAGTTTTGTTATTGTTACAACATTTAAAGTAATGTCAGTGTGGTGATTAAGAGGTTGTTTTGGGCTTTTAGGAAAACGTACTGGAAGATATCGATCGCATCCTGGAGAGGATTGAGGACAGCACTGGGTTGAACCGTCCCGGCCCAGCTCCCCTGAGCTCCAGGAAGCACATTCTCTACGTGGAGCACAGGTGTGGCCCCCGCCTTTCCCTGCCCCCGCCCTTCTCTGCGGCTGCCACAGAGACTCCGTGGGAGGAAAAGGTTCTCTAAAAAAGGAAAAAGAAAATGTACTATCTTTATTTAAAAATAATACGAGTTTATTGGCTGGGCGCAGTGGCTCACGCCTGTAATCCCAGCACTTTGGGAGGCCAAGGCAAGCGGATCACGAGGTCAGGAGATGGAGACCATCCTGGCTAACACGGTGAAACCCAGTCTCTACTAAAAATACAAAAAATTAGCCGGGCGAGGTGGTGGGTGCCTGTAGTCCCAGCTACTCCGGAGGCTGAGGCAGGAGAATGGCGGGAACCCGGGAGGCAGAGCTTGCAGCGAGCCGAGATCGCACCGCTGCACTCCAGCCTGGGCGACACAGTAAGACTCGTCTCAAAAAATAATAATAATAATGAGTTTATATTAATCATTTAGGAAATAGACTGGGCCCCGTGGCTCACGCCTGTAATCCCAGCACTTTGGGAGGCTGAGGCGGGCAGATCACCCGAGGTCAGGAGTTTGAGACCAGCCTGGCCAACATGGAGAAACCCCGTCTCTAGTAAAAATACAAAAATTTCTGGGTGTGGTGGCTCACACCTGTAATCCCAGCACTTTGAGAGGCTGAATTGAGTGGAACACCTGAGGTCGGGAGTTTGAGACCAGCCTGACCAACATGGAGAAACCCCGTCTCTAGTAAAAATACAAAATTAGCCAGGCATGGTGCACACCTGTAATCCCAGCTACTGGGGAGACTGAGGCAGGAAAATTGCTTCAACCTGGGAGGCAGAGGTTGCAGTGATCTGAGATTGCGTCACTGCACTCCAGCCTGGGCAACAAGCAAAACTCTGTCTCAAAAGAAAAAAGAAAAAAAAAATACAAACATTAGCTGGATGTGGTGGTGCGTGCCTGTAATTCCAGCCACTCAGGAGGCTGAGGTGGGAGAATCTCTTGAACCCAGGAGGCAGAGGTTGCAGTGAACCAAAGATCATGCCACTACACTCCAGCCTGGGTGACAGAGCAAGACTCTGTCTCCCAAAAAAAGGAAATAGGAACAAGGAGGAAAGGAAGTCATCCATATTTCAGAGGACTTTTAGCTTTACTTCTTACGTATCTGAGAGAGTTCCTTCTTTTTCTTTTTTTTAAGAGACAGGATCTCTCTGTCACCCAGGCTGGGGTGCAGTGTTGTGATCATAGTCCACTGCAGCCTCGACCTCCTGGGCTCGAGAGATTCTCTTGCCTCAGCCTCCCAAAAGGCTGGAATTAACAGGTGTGAACCACCACGTCTGGTCAAAAAGTTCCTCCTTATCCTGTCATGCTTGGAGGACTGTTCCTCTCTGGGTCTTATAGATGCTTAATGAATTGCTGTCTCTACTTCAGACATTATCGCCAGCTTGAAAAACACAGTGCCCTGGAGTCAGTTAAGACACAGTAATGTGGTCTCAGGGTGCGTGCGCTGCCCTGACCCAGCCTCAGACACAGATGTGTGTCACACCCAGGGCCTCTCAACACAGCGCTCACCGAGCGCCGTCGCAGCAGAGTAACCAGCGGCTTCCCTGTGGTGCCCACAGTGGCGAGGCCTCAACCATGGATGGGGTGGTGATTTGAAAGAAAGGAGGCCTGGAAGCTGCCTTTCAAGCCAAAAATCCGTTTTCTTTCCTTGATTATTAGGTGGCTTTCTGAAATTTTTGGAATCATTGTAGAACATAATTTCATGTTTCTTTCTAAAATTTTCAATTCCCTAGACACTTGAATCCAGACACAGAACTGAAAAGGTATTTTGGTGCCCGGGCAGTCCTGGGGGAACAAAGGTAAGGTCCACACTAAACTGTCTTCTCACAGCTGCTTCATTCCTTCTTAGACTCTTGACGGGGTGGTGTTCCCGAAGCCAGTTAACCCCTGAGGGAGAATATTGGAAGCCAGAGTCACACATAACCCTTAGAATTGGGATCTGAAAGGGAGTCCACAGATTGTGTATAACCTTGTCTGTGACTGTGGGTTGTGGAGATACCCAGAGTCCTTGGTCTCCATCCCCAGTGTAAGATTTCAAAAGCCAGACTGGATGTGGTGCTTACGCCTGTAATCCCAGCACTTTGGGAGGCTGAGGCGGGTGGATCACCTGAAGTCAGGAGTTCGAGACCATAGTGAAACCCTGTCTGTACTAAAAATACAAAAATTGGCTGGGCATGGTGGCGCATGCCTGTAATCCCAGCTACTTGGGAAGCTGAGGTAGGAGAATTGCTTGAACCCAGGAGGCAGAGGTTGCAATGAGCTGAGATCACACCACTGCACTCCAGCCTGGGCCACAAAGTAAGACCCCGTCTCAAAAGTTTTCAAAAGCTGTTAAATTTTGAGATTCTAGTTTTGTTGCGGTGGCTCATGCCTATAATCCCGGCACTTTGGGAGGCCGAGGCGGGCAGATCACCTGAGGTCGGGAGTTGGAGATCAGCCTGACTAACATAGAGAAACCCTGTCTCTATTAAAAATACAAAAAATTAGCCGGGCGTGGTGGTGCATGCCTGTAATCCCAGTTACTCGGGAGGCTGAAGCAGGAGAATCGCTTGAAACTGGGAGATGTAGGTTGCGGTGAGCCAAGATCGTGCCATTGCACTCCAGCCTGGGCAACGAGAGGTGAATAACTCCATCCTCAAAAAAAAAAAAAAGATTCTAGTTTGCTTCTCAGAGCAAAACTAAACGTGAAGTTCAGGTTCTGACATAAGTTTCTTTCTTTCTTTTTTTTTTTTTTTTTTTTTGGAGACAGATTCTTGCTCTGTCGTGCAGGGCTGGAGCTCAGAGGTACGATCCCAGCTCACTGTAACCTCCGCCTCCTGGGTTCAAGCAGTTCTCCTGCCTCAGCCTCCCGAGTAGCTGGGATTGCAGGTGCACTCCACCACCCCCAGCTAATTTTTTTTTTTTTTTTTAGTAGAGAATGGAGTTTCACCATGTTTGGCCAAAGCTGGTCTCGAACTCCTGACCTCAGGTGATCCACCTACCTTGGCCTCTCAAAGTGCTGGGATTACAGGCGTGAGCCATGGCGCCTGGCCAAGATAAATTTCATCTGTGTCCATTCAGTAGTTCTTAGTGGTTGGGCAGCCCTAGACGAGGATGGCCGGCTGTGATGAGGAGCGCAGGGTGTTTCCGCTCTTTATAGGAGGAAAAGCAGGGTGTCTGCTTCTGGGAGTTTACGTAGGAGGCATGTTCCGCCTCTGAACTCTCCACTGAAGTGTCCAGAAGGCTCTGTCTTTTTTTTTTTTTTAGAGACCTGATCTTGCTGGGTTGCCCAGTCTGGTTTTGAACTCGTGGCCCGAAGTGATCCTCCCATCTCAGCCTCCCAAATAGCTGGGACTACAGGCACATGCCACCGCTAATTTATTTTATTTTATTTTTTGTAGAAACAAGGTCTTGCTTTGTTGTCCAGGCTGGCCTGGTGTCAAACTCCTGGCTTCAAGCGATGCTCCTCCCTCCGCCTCCCGAAGTGCTAGGATTACAGGCATGAGCCACCACGCCCAGCCAGACACATCCTCTTTTCTTTGCACGTCTGAGTTCTAAGCATTGTTTTCTTTTGTTTGTTTTTTTTGTTTTTTTTTTTTTTTGAGACGGAGTCTCGCTTTGTCACCCAGGCTGGAGCTCAGTGGTGCAATCTCAGCTCACTGCAACCTCCGCCTCCTGGGTTCAAACGATTCTCCTGCCTCAGCTTCCTAAGTAACTGGGATTACAGGCACGCGCCACCGTGCTCGGCTATTTTTTGTATTTTTAGTAGATACGGGGTTTCACCACATCGGCCAGGCTGGTGTCAAACTCCTGACCTCAAGTGATCCGCCCGCCTCTGCCTCCCAAAGTGCTTGGATTAACAGCGCTGAGCCACCGCACCCGGCCTCCCAAAGTGCTGGGATTACAGGTGTGAGCCCCCATGCCCGGCCTAAGCCTTGTTTCTGCACCATGGTATACCCCGGTCATTTCCTTACCCTAGTGGTAGCATGTGTCCAGATGTTGGCTACAGTCCCCCTTGTCTGCAGGCATTTCTGTGAAACTGCCCAAGAGTGAGTTTTCCCATCTTGAGTCACCTGCCAGTGCCCTTCGGTAGAGTCACCAGCTCACACGCAGCGTCTGCCTGGGTCCTTCAGCTTCCACTCGTGTAGATGATAGGGGTCTGGAAATCCGTCATCGTGTGTGGGCAGAAGTGTTGGTGTTTTGATTCTGGGTAGATTGAGGATGTTTTCATGTGCTGTTGTTCACACTTTCCCTGGATTTCTAACAGGTTTTGCTTTATATTTTACTTTACATTTTTGGTGTTGGTGTGTTTCCTTGGGAATGTTAGTGAAAAATTGACTTTAAAATGTCTACTTTGTTATCTGTATTTCCCTGAGCTGAGGGTTCTGCCTCGTCCCACTCTTTGTTTGCATCTGCTTGATCTGTTTTTGCCATTTCTTTGCATTTTTGCATGGTTTTATTTCTGCAAATTATAATTATTAATGGTAATTAGTTGACAATAATAGCCTTTATTATTTTTATAGTAGTATTATACTTTTTGTTATATTATTTCTTTAAAAATTTGATTCCTACCAAAAGACTTCCGTGGAGAAGCCACAGTTCCCTTTTTATTCATTCCTTGTCCTGCTCCTCCAAGACAAGGCCTGGCCTATTTCTGTTTCCGCTTCTGGTGGTTCTCTCAGAGTCTCAGAATAACACACGCACCGACTTCCCACTATGCCAGCCGGGCCAGCTCATTGCCCTGGCACCTCGGCACTACTCCTGTTGCTCAGGGTGCCTGCCCGCCTTCAGAGCTCCTCCGGACTCCTGTCCCCTGCCCACTCCCGGCATCTGCCCAGGCTGCCTCGTTGGGTCTGTTCTCGAGGCCTCCTGACTCGTTTTGTGGGATGGCTGACCTGGGGTCAGGCTGTCCCTGGGATTCTGTAGACCTGGCACAGGAGAGTGCTGAAGGGCTGACTCTCCTAGGCCTGGGCGTGTGCTGCAGGCAGGAGAAGCAGGCTGGGGCCACCTTCGCGTCAGGAGGGCCCACCACGCTGGCCTCCACTCTGCAGTGGCTGATCTGGAGGGGCCTGGGGCCAGGGCAGGGATGGCCCCGCGGGAAGGGAACGGCATTGTGTTGACGGTTACTGTGGGCATGGCTGCTGCTGTCCGTGCTGCCACAGCTCCCACGCCCCACCTCTCCTGCGCCTGTGTGTTCAGGCAGAGTGCCCAGAGCTCTGTTATGTGGGGGTCTCTGCCACAGGGGTCAGGCCCACCCTAAGCGTTGGTCGGGTGGTATCTGAGCGGGGCGGGTAGGGCAGCATGGAAAAGGCACGGAGCTGCTGTTACATCAGAGATGGTTGGTTTCTTAAGTTGAGTGATGGGCATGTGGAAATATTAGCATGTTATTCTCTTTCTTTTCATTTTCTTTTTTTGTTTTCTTCTTGAGACAGGGTCTCGCTCTGTCGCCCAGGCTGGAGTGCTGGGATCACAGGTGCAGACCATCACGCCAGGCTAATTTTTAAAATCCTTCGTAGAATTGGAGTTTTGCTGTCTTGCCCAGGCCAGTCTGGAACTCCTGGGTTCAAGAAATCCTCCCAGCACTTTGGGAGGCCGAGACGGGCGGATCACGAGGTCAGGAGATCGAGACCATCCTGGCTAACACAGTGAAACCCCGTCTCTACTAAAAAAAAATACAAAAAACTAGCCGGCGAGGTGGCGGGTGCCTGTAGTCCCAGCTTACTCGGGAGTGCGAGCAGGAGAATGGCGTGAACCCGGGAGGCGGAGCTTGCAGTGAGCCTGGGACAGAGCCAGACTCCGTCTCAAAAAAAAAAAAAAAAAAAAAGAAATCCTCCCATCTTGGCCTCTCAAAGTGCCGGTGGGATATAGTGTGAGCCACCACGTCCAGCCAGAATTGTTTCCTGCCTGCCTCTCTGTGGGGCTCCCTGCCCAGCCCGTCGCAGCAGTGCTGACGCTTGTTGCCGTGTTTTGCAATCCCTGTTGCATCCCCACCCCCTGCCACACATGCCTTCTCCGCCCCCTCAGCTTTGCTTCCACAGCCCCTGCAGGGATCAGGCAGCCAAGCCTCGGTCCCCACACACCACAGGAAGTAAAGCTGTACCTGTGTCCCGTTCTCCCCAGGCCACGGCAGAGACAGCGCGTGTACCCCAAGTGCACATGGCTGACCACCCCTAAGAGCACCTGGCCCCGGTACAGCAAACCAGGTGAGGGTCTGCAGAGGCTGCTGGGGGTGGGTCTGGGCCCTGGCCCGCGTTGGGCACTGGGGGTCATCAGTGCCCCTTGAGCCAAGCCTCTCGCTCCAGGAGCACCGGCGCGCACTGACTGTGTGACTGTTTGTTGCCACACTGAGGGCTTGAGTGCTGGAGGCCTGGTCCAGGACCTCGACACAGAGCCTCCCAGGCACCGTCTTTGTGTGACTGTCTTTTCCTGCAGGTTCTTCCTACCGTTCTGCCATCGACCTTTCCCTTATGGAAGCAATCGAGTTCATTTTAAACTGCAGTGTTTTGTATATTATTGCAAACTAATAAGTGCACGTGATTTTAAGATAAATTGCAGCAATGAAGACAGGCACGGAGTGTTGGGTGCTTGGTGGTGTGTGCGGGGAAGCGTCAGGAGGCCCTCAGGGGCCAGGGCAGGGATGACCTGTGGGAAGGGAGCAGTGCGGTGCCCTTGGCGATTGGCTTGGCTGCTGCTGTCAGTGCTGCCGCGGCTCCCATGCCTGCCTCTCCTGCGCCTGTGTCTGGGGGGGTGCCAGAGATTGCCTGTGTACATTCTGTAAGGACGCGTCTGAGAGCGAGGCCTGTGCTGTCCAGAGGTGAACGCTGCTGCTCACGGCCCCTTCCCTTCCTAGCAGGAACCCCTGAGCACTGCAGACAGGGGCTCCATGGCCATGTGTTCCTGCAGGACTCGGGCCTTGGGCAGGGCCACCAAGAAGGTATCACTGCAGGGGACCTATTCCATGAGGTCCTGGGAGGCTGAGCTTTTCAGGTTTATCAGAAGAAACTGGGCCCCGTGCACCCAGTCAGACAGGAGGAGCAGAGGGAGAGGGTGGCCACACACTACAAAGCTCTGTGGCTTCCGAGGCCTGGTGCTGTGGCCGGCTGTGCCACCGCACCGCACCCCGCCCTTCCACGGCCACCCTGGACATTCACCTCAGTCAGACTTGGTCTGGGGACAGTGCTTGTCCTGGTCAGATCTGGTGACCTGTGAACTGTGTGTGTCCTTGTCCCTGACATTCCCTCCAGGCCAGTGGGGCTTGAGCTATATCTGAGTTCTGGGGGGAAACACGTCTTGATAGGAAACTAAAGCAGACAGGATGCCGTCTCCTGGTGTGGACCACACGGCGGGTGTTCTGGGAGGGTGCCCGGACCTGGGTGATATGCATGAGTACACACTCAGGTCAAGTTTGTTGATATCACAGGGGCCTCGTCAAGAACATGAGGGTGAAGGCTGTGCTTGGAGATGCCCACGTCCCTGCTCCCGGCACACCCTCCCTGAGCACTCTCCCCTCCCAGGTCTGTCCATGCGGCTGCTGGAATCGAGAAAAGGCCTCTCCTTCTTTGCGTTTGAGCACAGTGAGGAGTACCAGCAGGCTCAGCACAAGTTCCTGGTGGCCGTGGAGTCTATGGAGCCGAACAACATCGTGGTGCGTGGTCCTTGCAGCCCCCGACAGGAGCAGGGGCCATGTAGCCACCACTGCCCTCACAATCCCTGGGCAGCCCATCCACCTGTCAGTGATGGAGTCCTCTCTTTACAAACCCCCAGGCTTGGTGCCCCAGGGTTGCGAGATCCTGACCAACCCCGTCTTCAGAACCAGAGGGAGCCTGTCCTCACCCTCTCTGGCCACCCTCACCCCGTCCACGCTGCCTCAAGGCTGTCGTCAGGGGCAGGATGCTTCTGAGAGCTCAGCATCGTCTCCCCTGTGGGAAAAGCTGCTGCTTTCCATTCCTCTTTCTTGGGGCGTGGTGGGGAGTTAGGTGACCCTGGCCTGGGCATGTTAGGTTTGAATTCTTGCTTTAAGTCGTATCATTGGTTCAGCTTAGCAATAATAACTAGCCTGTTTTGAGTTGGGGGATGTTGTGAGTGTCGACCCTGGTAATTCCCGTTTGTTTTTGGAGTCGGAGGCTCACTCTCTTGCCTAAGCTAGAGTGCATTGGCGCAGTCTCGGCCCAGGTTCAAGCAGTTCTCCTGCCTCAGCCTCCCAAGTAACCGGGATTACAGGCACATGCCACCACACCCGGCTAATTTTTGTATTTTTATTAGAGACCAGATTTTGCCACGTTGCCCAGGCTGGTCTCGAACTCCAGATCTCAAGTGATCCTGCTGCCTCGCCCTCCTGAAGTGCTGGGATTACAGGCGTGATCCACTGTGCCCAGCCTCCCCTGGTTTTAAATGCCTGAAAGAAAGGCGTGCCTGGTAGCTGGGGCCTTGCTGGGTGTCTGTCCCCAAGAGGGCTGCGTGTGCCTTTCCTCCAGGGCTGTCCTCCCTCCTGGTAGGTTCTGCTCCAGACGAGCCCTTATCACGTTGACTCGCTCCTGCAGCTCAGCGATGCCTGCCGCTTTCAAGAGGATCAGGAGATGGCTCGAGACCTCGTAGGTAAGGCAGAGCCCCCACCCGTTCCCGTCAGCTGTGGGAGCACCTCAGGCCATCAAGACAGATACGGTGGTATAAGATGACGGGGGTTGCCAGGATATCCATGACAGCTTTATTGAGACACAACCCACATAGCACAGAACTTACCCATTGAAAGCTTTTGTTTGTTGTTGGTGTTTAATATACGCCTCAGCCTCCCGAGTAGCTGGGACTACAGGCAGCCGCCAACACACCCGGCTAATTTTTTGTATTTTTAGTAGAGACGGGTTTCACCGTGTTCGCCAGGATGGTCTCGATTTCCTGACCTCGTGATCCGCCCGCCTCGGCCTCCCAGAGTGCTGGGATCACAGGCGTGAGCCACCGCATCTGGCCCTCTGGCTTTTATTTACAATAAAGTTTTCAGGGTTCATCCTCATTGTAGCATGGACGAGAACATTGTTCGTTTTTACTCCACCGTGTGGACGGACCACGTTTTGTGTGTCTGTCATGAGTTGACAGCCATGTGGGCTGCTGTAAACAGTGGTGCTGATGTCAGTGTGCACGCGCAGCCTCAGGTGGACACGCCTGTGCTGCACACGTGGGCGGCGGGTTCTGTCAGGACGTGGCGGCAGTTGTGCCTCATGGTGTTTAAGATGTTTCCGTCTCAAGCTGACAAGTTCTGTGGTTGAAATAAATGCAGCCTGGCATCCAGGGTACCCAGGGTCATGTCTGCCCTCTCTGTCCAGGATTCTAGTTTCATGACCTTCCGTCCAGACCTTTCCTTGTTGTCCATCGTCAGAGGAGGGGCCGTGGTTGCTGTGTGTGGCCATGACACCTCCCCTGGCGTCCCTGTGCCTGCAGAGCGAGCGCTGTACAGCATGGAGTGTGCCTTCCACCCCCTGTTCAGTCTCACCAGCGGGGTCTGCCGGCTGGATTACCGCAGACCCGAGAACAGGTGAGTGCAGCCGCCCTGGAGGGGACGCAGCTCCCCCTCCCTTCTCCTTCGAGTGAGGCCCCCCAGGGTGGACCAGGGCCCACAGGTCCAGAGTGACCTGCCTTGCTCTCTCTGGGCCCAAGGATGGAGGGGTTGGATTGGCTCGGCCCAGGTTTACATTTGTCTGTGGATATGCCTGATGCCACTCTGGAGGTCAGAGTGGGAGGTCTGCTGAGCCCAGGAGTTCAAGTCCAGCCTGGGCACCAAAGTGAGACCCCATCTCTTAAAAAATAAAAATAAAAATAAATGTTTGTGTTAGAAATGAGCCTGGCTGGGCACAGTGGTTCACGCCTGTAGTCCCAGCACTCTGGGAGGCTGAGGTGGGAGGATTGCTTGAGCCCAGGTGTCAAGACCAGTCTGAGCACCGTGGCAAGATGCAGTCTGTACAGAACATTTTTTTTTTTTTTTTTGAGATGAAGTCTTGTTCTGTTGCCCCTGCTGGAGTGCAGTGGCCGGATCTCAGCTCACTGCAAGCTCCACCTCCCAGGTTCAAGCAATTTTCCTGCCTCAGCCTCCCGAGTAGCTGGTACCACAGGCACGTGCCACCACGCCCGGCTTATGTTTTGTGTTTCTTAGTAGAGAGAGTTTCACCGTGTTAGCCAGGATGGTCTGGATCTCCTGATCTTGTGATCCACCTGCCTCGGCCTCCCAAAGTGCTGGGATTACAGGCGTGAGCCACTGCGCCTGGCCACTACAGAACATTTTAAAAACTAGCTAGGCCTGGTGGCGCGTGCCTGTGGTCCCAGCTACTTGGGAGGTTGAGGCAAGAGTATCGCTCAAGCGAGCAGGAGGTTGAGGCTGCAGTGAGCCGAGATCGTGCCAGTGCACTCCAGCCTGGGCAACAGAGTGAGACCTTGTCTCTCCAAAAAAAAAAAGGAAGTGAGACTGACAAACCACATCTCCACAGTGGGCTCTGCAATTGCATTTCCTTCTATGTCTGGCTGAGAAAGCCCATCCCTGGCAAGTTTAGAAGCTTTGGAGGGCTTTGCAGGTTTGAGCTTAAATCAGTGAGGAGCTCAGAGTCAGCCTGACCCTTGCTCCCCTGTGCTGAGCGGCCACATGTGCAGGACTCTCTTCTTTCAGATACTTCTGCCCCTAAAGCCATCCCTCTGGCATCAGCCCTCAATGGTCAGACGTGGACTGGCTTCCACCAGACCTTCCCGCAGGACAGGTCCTGTGGGCCTTTTGTGGAGCAGACCAGCTTCTGTCTGCTGTCCTGCCTCTCCTGTGTGCAGCGCCCTGTTTCTCTGGACGCCCTGGGTTGTCTCCAGTGTGGGATCCACTCCTCCCCTCAGCCCTCCTGGGCCAAGGTCCACTGACCCCTTCTGCACGGATTGTCTGCACTGTGTGCTGGGTCTGAGTTTCCCCCACTGGTTTTCTTTATGTTAGTTTTATGTCTTCCAATGAAATTCTTAGTTCTTTGAAGTAGATTATAAAATATTAATATTTCCAGGCATGAAAGGGACAGAGGGTGGGGTGGAGTGGGTACTGGCCGGGGTGCTGAGCACGGGGTGGGTGGTAGCAGCGTGGTGCATGGCCAGGGCGCTGAATCAGACCGGCGGGTGGAGTGGGGTACTGGCCCGGGGCAGCTGAAGGCAGAGGGGCGGGGTGGGAGCAGGTACTGGCACCCGGGCGCTGAGCAGAGGGTGGGGTGGAGTGGGTACTGGCCAGGGCACTGAGCAGGGGGTGGGGTGGAGCGGGTGGTGCTGGCCAGGGCGCTAAGCAGAAGGTGGGGTGGAGCAGGTACTGACCAGGGTGCTAAGCAGAGGGTGGGGTGGAGCAGGTACTGACCGGGGCGCTGAGCAGAGGGTGGGGTGGAGTGGGTACTGGTCAGGGCACTGAGCAGGGGGTGGGGTGGAGCGGGTGCTGGCCGGGGCACTGAGCAGAGGGTGGGGTGGAGCGGGTGCCGGCCGCAGCGCTGTCCACAGGGCGTTCTCCTTTGTGTCGCTGTAATTCATGTGGAACTATTTTGGATCTAGGAGCTTCTACTTGGCCCTCTACAAGCAGATGAGCTTCCTGGAGAAGCGAGGCTGCCCGCGCACGGCGCTGGAGTACTGCAAGCTCATTCTGAGGTGAGTGTCCGCTCAGGGCCAAGCCCGCCCGTGCTCCCTGTCCTGGCTGCAGGCCAGCCTGATGGTGCCCGTGTTCCCCTTTGCTCTGCTCTCTGCGCTGCCTCTGGAAGTCTGGAGCCGGACGAGGACCCCCTCTGCATGCTGCTGCTGATCGACCACCTGGCCTTGCGGGCCCGGAACTACGAGTACCTGATCCGCCTCTTCCAGGAGTGGGAGGTAGGTGCGAGGCTGGTGAGGTCCCGTGGAGGGACGGACATCTGCTTCTTCTGTTTTCTTGGTTTGGTGTCTGTGTGCTCAGGGGACAGTTTGGGGATGAAATGGCCATCGTCCGAGGGAGAACCCCGTCCGCCCGCCTTGTTTTCTCCCTTGCCGCCTCCAGGGAGTGGAGGCTGGTTTTCCTAGGGACAGCACGGCAGCCTTATGTCAGAATCCTCATGGGTGTGCACACATGCACAAGTGTGTCTGCGAGGACCGTGATGCTGGCAAAGACGAAAAACTGGCGAGACCCGAGCTCCTCGTGGGCAGTTCGGGAGGCTGCAGCGCAGCTGGGAGGCAGAGGAAGGGCTGGCTGCGTGGGGCTGGCTCAGGGGCCCCAGCATTTCCGTCCTGTTCCATGGCCGGAGTGTGAGCACAGCAGGAGAGGCCTGAGCTCTGTCCCCCGTAACTTACACAGACACGTGTTGGAATAATTAGGTGTATTGGGTTAGATACACTGTATTAAAGTGAATTTCACCGGTGTTCTCTTTAATGCAGCTCCTAGGAAATTTAAATTGACACCTGGGCTCCCATTATGTTCCTACGGGGTGGCGCTTCTGTGGATGGACGCGTGGGGCTTTGTAGTGCTAACCTCCAGCAGGGCCTGGGGTGGGGAGAAGGCGTGACAGCTCTGGACTTCCTCTGTTGCTGTGTTGAATGTTTTCATTGCACGTGTTCATGGATGATGAAAGTGGGTACATTATTCCGATTTTTTAGCATTTGGCATAGTTGGCCAGGAAGTCTCACCCCCAGGAATATGGTTTATAGAAATTCCTGGGCCGGGCGCGGTGGCTCAAGCCTGTAATCCCAGCACTTTGGGAGGCCGAGACGGGCGGATCCCGAGGTCAGGAGATCGAGACCATCCTGGCTAACACGGTGAAACCCCGTCTCTACTAAAAAATACAAAAAACTAGCCGGGC